ATCCATGGCACTACCGGGATTCGATCCCGAAACCTGTGGTACCGAGCGCCAGAGGATATGAGCCTGTAGATAAAGTACAATAGCAGTTCTCGAGGACTGCAATAAAAAAGAATTTTAAGATATCTGTGAGAAACTCTAGACTGTTGCCGAAGTAAAAGAAGCACAGAAGGTAAGTCGGTTGCATGCATTGAGTCTTACTGTAAGTCTCACCTATATTACCTAAATCTTATCTACTGTAAGTCTTAACATCTTCGAGTTCAACTCAAGACAGTAAGTCTTAGAGTAAATATTTACTAAAGATTGGGAAATCACTTATTGGCTGAAAAACCAGTACTAAGAGAACATATATTTGGACCTGGGGAGTCTACAGTTTGATAGGAAACTATTTATTTTATTGAAGGCAAAATCATATTTGAATTATATAAGGGACATGATGGCCGAGTGGCTAGTGCTCTGGATCTCGGTACCACAGGTTTCGGGCACAAGTCCCGGCGGTGGCGCCGATGTTTTGGATTATTCTGCCTAATATTTCCATTGAGATTTAATCGATTATTTATAAATAATTGTTATCTCTATGCTAGAGACTAGTTTGTCAGGATGTAATACCAATCTCTCTTTCTATTTATATTAGTTTATTAACAATATTAGTACATACATACACATTGGCACCCTGTGCCTCTTCTACAATGAGCATGAATAGTTCAAAACCAAGACGCTCCTAGCGTTCTCTTCGTGGTCACAAAATCTCACCGCATGCCCTTACCACACTGCACCACACAGTTAAGGTCCCAGTTACTGGTCACAGTCGCAACCTCTCGCGGCTATATAATAACAATGAAACATTACATAATATATTTAATTTTTAGTAAATATAATATAAATATTACTTAATTAATTTTTAATATATTATATTTAACTAAAATAAAAAAGTACATTTTTATCGAAGTTTTTACAATTTTCCATTCTAAATCTTTCAAGGATTTTGTTCAAATATCTCTTTTTTGACACTGTGATCTTATTCACTCTTTGCTTCATCTTCATTCTCAAAAACACGTGCATGGCAGGTTTTTTTTTATTTAGGTTTTCTTTTCTATGTTTGTTATGACCTCCTTAAGCAGCTTCCGTGAACCTGATATTACTAAACAAATCATTTATATATATATATATATATATATATATATATTACTATAATACTATTCCTTTCCGTCTCTTTCGATATGTACTGATGAATAAGATTTCAATTTTTAAAAACCTATTAAATCTAATATCTCACTAAATTTGTTATACTAACATCTTCCCGATTGCGATAATTCATGACTACTACACCACACCACACACTGTACCTAGAGCTGAGTTGCTCCTTTACAGTTTGGAAATGATGTGGGTGAGAAGTCTGACTAGGCTCTGTGACGTTTTACGGTTATAGAAGACCGGAACCTATGGCTTAAAGTGTATTCAGAACCATACAAAACATCCATGGCACCACCGGGAATCGAATCTTTGGTACCGACTGACAGAGCGCTAGCCACTCGGCCATCAGGGCGCTGATAATTTATAACTCATCATCATTGGCGCAACAGCCCTTGGTGGAACGTCTACCTACTGGTAGATTTCGAGATGTTTTTTTTTTTTACGGGGTACGGTTGTCAGTAGAGAGATAGATATGTATGAGGTAGAGGCCGCTTCTGTTGTGATGGAAGTAGGTAGAAATCTCGATTGGCTTCGTGACGCTGACTTTTTACCGGGTCAGTCCTACGCTCAACAGTCATATGAGACAGGGACCTACGGCTTAAAGTGGATTCCGAAACACTCAGAAACATCCATGGCACCGCCGGGACTCGAACCCGAAACCTGTAGTACTGAGAGCCAGAGAATTCATAACTACTTTTCTTAATTACATACACCAGGTCATAAGGTAATTGGCATCCTTTTGGCGACAGATATTTCTATACAAGGTGGCCATGGGCATTCTGTTTAGGTATGCTGTTATCGCGTCTAAGAATTCATGATGGATTATTTTGGCGTTGCAATAGCTAATTGCGCCCTTAACTTCAGCTGTCCCATTTTTTAAGATGCAGTAGCTTAAAGTGCGCTGTCCCACTTCATGACTGGGCCAAGACTCTCTTGGCTTGTTTTCGCCCCCGTCCAATGGGCTCCAACCTTGCATTTCGCCAACGAAATCCCGACGATTTTTGATTACCTTCTTGCTAATAGGTCTTTCTACTGCCTTCCAAACATCATCGTTTAAATGACTCCGATCCATTATTCATTGCTTGTTCTCAATATTTTTTTTTTTTTTTTCTGTTCTAATGCAGCTGGCAAACACTTAGACCAGGGATGGGCAAACTCCGGCCCTCTGGAAGGTTCTATCCGGCCCGCGGATAGAATTTTAATCTGCCGGTATGAGGCAAATTAAAAGAAATATATACTTATATATTATATGCTCATCTCCTTTTGTACTTTGATAAATATTTTTTTTTCTTCATTTTTTTCAAAGGAGTGAGGATCTTTTAATTTCTCTATTTTTGTTCAACAAAACATAAATCGACGGAAATAGCAAGCACACACAGCTTTCAATCGGTAAAGTGTTAATAGCGGAAGTTCATTGTTAGTTATAGCTGTAGATGGGCGCCAACAAGTTAGAGTTTTACAAATCATTATCGAAAGTAAGTTTTCAAATTTAATATCTCACACCCAGAAAATCAGTCCTATGTTTCCTCCATCTTATATATGTGAACAAGTGTTTTCAACTATGAACCTCAGAAAGAATTACTTCAGAAGTAGACTGACAGATGAGCATTTAGCCCCGATCCTTAGAATCAGTACATCTCACTTCGAACCTCAATACAAGGAACTTTTAAAAATGAAATTGCAGTTTCATTCAACTCATTAACATATCTAAATTGTAATACTTGTATATTGTTTTTAAAATTTTAGAAAATTTATCTTGTCCGCCAAACTTTTTTTTTTCGATTTTTGGCCCCGCAACCGAAAAAAGTTTACCCATCCCTGACTTAGACAGTTGTCTTGGATGCCTTAAGGCAAGCGCTGCACAGACGTTACTCACTGAGCACTAACCAGGAGGTGCGTGCAACTTGAAGATAGCTGCGGACGCGGAGGGACAATATCCCCGTAACGCTCTACGATCCTGTTAAGACCGGGACCTGAGGTTTAAAGTGGATTCCGAACCACTACAGACATCCATGGCACCTTCGAACTCGAACCCCGTGGTACCGAGCGACACAGCGCTAGCCACTCGGCCTCACTTTTTGTTTCGCGTTATTTATCAATGCGCTATGATGCACTTCTGGTGCAGAATCCATTGCCGAATGCACAATGCAATCGATATATCCTTCAGGCATCCTTCTGTCTTTAATGGGCCTCTCTGTATTATCTTTATTTTTCAATTCCTTCTATTAGCTCCCACTCTCCCTATATATATCTTGTTCAAATTTTCAATCGTTCATAAAATACTTTTATTCATCCACTCAAGTTCAGATACATTTCTTTTGAACTTGTAGAGGATGACACTGGATGTGAATACAGTTTTTTCAAATATTAATTCATTCATTAAATTTAATTCATTTATTTTATTTTTTTTTTTTAGATTTAAGTTATATATATCGACCAATAGAGGGCGCCAGATAAACTCAAAAAATGAATGAAAATTATTTATAAAGGACTTTCTGCAATAGAGTGAAAAAAAGTAGGAATTGACTTTAAAATTTTTTTTTTTTTATATTACTTGTTACTAATAAATTTGAAGTGTCAACTGCATGCTTGTCTTCTGCATGTGATCATCTTCCTGTATTTCTGTTTCCTGTTTTTGTATTCGGATGCACTGTTTGTTAAATCTTCATTATTTTTGCAGTCTGGCGGCCAAGTGGCTAGCACTCTGGTCTTTTGCATCCCAGGCTTCAGGTTCGAATCCTGGTGGTGGCATGGAGGTTTGTGAGGAGTTCGGAGTCCAATTTAAAGTGTAGATCGCGGTCTGTTTAGCCCTCGTGCGCACAAGATGGCCGTAGAGCTACAAGCCAAACCAAACCTCATTATTTTTTTCTCGATTTATTCCACGTAACCCTGGAACTATCAATCTTTATCTATATAATTCTTCGGGGCCTGAATGGCCGAGTGGCTAGCGCTCTGGCTCTCGGTACCACAGGTCTCGGGTTCGAACCGGCGGTGCCATGGATGTTTGTAGGTGTTCGGAATCCACTTTAAGTCGCAGGTCCCGGTCTAACATGATCGTAGAGCGTTACGGGGACATTGTTACTCCGCGTCCGTGGCTTATCTCCAAGCTACACGCACCTCCTGGGTAGTGCTAAGTGAGTAATGTCTACGCAGCGCTTGCCTTAAGGCATCCAAGAACAAGTGTCTAAGAGTTTGCCAGCTGTGTTAGAAATATATATATAATCCTTCAGTACTTGTCTTTGTCACTAAATTCCCACTAAACGGAAGAGCCGATTTTTGATGAAATTTTGTGTGTGTTGGACAAAACATGGAGACTGTTTTTATGATATCCCCTTTGCTGTCAGTCGCCACCAGAGAGTGCTGCAATCAATCCACTTCTAGACCGCTCAACTCATCGCTGTGAAAAGGAGTCATAATATGTATTCTCGAGTCTGGCAGCTGGCGTACCGATTACGGAGTACCAAAAGGGTGAAATACCCCTTAAACCTCCTCATCTTAATTCATAGATATGCTTTAAATTTTAATTGGCTGCTTAATTAATGTTAGTAGAAATACAAGATAAAAAGTTTCAAAAATTCAAGTTAAATGGTACTCAAAAAAAAAAAAAAAGATTAAAAATACTAATAATAAAAAGTAAAATCCAAAATAAAAGCAATTAAACTTAAACTTAGTACAATGAGGGACCAGTTGTCGGTGCCAAAACAATTGAAAAAGTAAACAGAGTATGAACTCATTTAAAAACAGTAGTACACATAGGGATAAAAACAAAACTGATTATTCTGAATGAAATTTAATGGAAAACTATTACACGGCCCTGGTGGGACTTGAACCCACAGTCTTTAGCTCCAGAGGCCAATGCCTTATCCATTAGGCCACAGGAGCACTCTTGAGTGTGGAAAATAGGTTCACGCCCTTCCACTTCAGTGTCAGTTGCCACCAGAGGGCGCTGCGGCAGTTCATATTATACGCCGTTCAAACCTTATGCATTAAAATGAGTGTACACCAATATTGGAACATGGAGAATAGATTTGCGTTATGTAATTTTGTGCAATGCATTTTTCGGCAGGACAACGTATGTCGGGGTTCTGCAACGTATGTATAATTTATACAAATTTTCTGCATTTCACTTGAAACATATCCATTGTTCTGCTCATCCAATGTTACAATTAGGGATTGCAATACCGAATGCCGGTATTTTGAGCCATTTGTACAATTTTGTAATACCGGTATTCACAAGTTTAAATACCGTTTTTTCGGTATTTACTAGAAATTTAGAATTCCTATCCTTGAAATTCTTATTCTATAACAAATTCTTATTCTTATTCTATTCTCCACAAACCCATCCACATTCACAAGAATTCGGTACAGCTATCGAAGATTATGATGACACTAATGTCGATAGTGAAAAGGAATTGTCTCTTGAACAAAAAATTAGAATTGGCGACACCTAAAAAAATTTCAACAAGCCAAAATACAATACAGAAATCAGCTATTTCCAAAACAATCCGACGAAAAATAGATTTATTTGAAGATGAAGGATTTAGAGATAAATACTTTTGAAAAGTATATCGCGCATTGCTAACAGTACCACCCACTAGAGTAGATGCTGAAAGAGCGTTTTCGGCAGCTGGTCATTTTTGCGCAAAATTACGTTCCAGGTTTAATGATAGTACAATTGATGCATTATGTTTTTTAAGATCACATTTTCAAAATTTGTAATAGTACCACAGACTGAATAGTGATATTTACCCTTTTTTGTGATTTAAATAAATAAGATGTTCCTGTACTTTTTTTGTCATTCTTTATATACTGTTATAATTTCTAAGTTACAATTTTTTTTTGTGATATTTACATTCTCTAATAAAACTGGCAATTAAAACAAAGAAACACTTGTGTTTTCTTTCTTTTTCTAAAATTTCTACTACCGGTATTAAAACCGTTATCCCGGTATTAAGATCTAAAAATACCGAATACCGGTATTGAACTTTTGGTCCGATATTGCAATCCCTAGTTACAATCTTCTCTCTTTTCCATGTCAAAACTTCTGTGAGCTTTACACTCTCTGTGATAATCTGTAAACATCCTTTTTCAATTAAGCCTCTAATGGGTGCCTTTTGTTGTTAACTTTATATTAAGGAAGGTATCTGAAAGGATTAACATGTCTGAATGAAGGTTTATTAAAATTCCGAAGTTCCGTAAGGCTTTTGTGGTTTTGATACTTTGTTGGTGTTATGCTATTGTACATGTATTCTGATGTTGTAATCGCTTCCGTTCAAAATTCAGGTTTTAAAGGACGTATATAGCTCCATTATTTGATTAGTTACCGGGAAACGTGTATTATATTTTTTAGAACTCATAGAATTAAGACGATACAGTTGTGAACATGGATGGGAAGTCGTTCAGAGTTCGAAGCCTGTTAGTTTTGAAAGAGTCTTCTTAAAAATGAGACTCCTGATTCATTTTGAAAAAAAAAAAAAAGATTTGTCTAAAATTCTAGGAATTTTTGTTAAAATTAGCTGTTAAGGTGTTAATTCTATTGCATCTTTCAATATTACAACCAGTAGCAACGACTGCTTTAGCAGCATGCCAGTTTAGGGAGAGCTTTTTATTTGCCCTGATACTTGTACAAAGTTATTTTAGATCAACAATGAAAGATCTTGTAGAAGCTGTTTTATTTTTAATAACAAATAAGATTTAATCCATTACAGATATAGCAACTTTCTGATTAAAATGTACACTCATATTTTAATTGTTTTCAATTATTCCATAATACTTTGCCAACTTTTGATTTAATACTGTTAGATTTATATATGTACATTTTTGTTAAGAAAATTAAAAGTATAAGAACGTCTTTTAAGTGAGTGCAAATGTAGCATGTTTAAAAAAAAAAAAAAAAAAAAAAAAAAAATAGCGTAAAACTGTTTTTAGACGAGTTCTATAAAAGCCGTTGAATTTATTTCAAAAGATCTTCTAAATCCATTGGTAAAGAGGATAGCACATGAAATGACAGGAAATCCAGGAGTCTATATTAAAATCTGATTCAAGCGTCGGGAAAATTTTTGGGCCGACTCCCTTCCCCGGTTCTAAGAAGAAATCGAGCGGAAAACGGAAAGTTGCTGTTTACTTCCTTAATTCTTAAAATGTGTTGGATTCAATTTCAAACCTTAAAAGAGAGACGAATTTGAAGGTGCATTCGCAGAAGATAGGATAGCATTAAATATTAGCTGGTTTTATTGGATACAAAACAAGCAATATATCAAAAAAAAAAAAATTTAAGACAATTCCTACTTTTTTTCCTTTATAAATAATTTTCATTCTTTTTTAAGTTTATCTGGCGGCATCTATTATTAGATACATGCAACTTAAATCTGAAAAAAAAAAACTAAAATTGATTTAATTTAATTGCTGAAATAATATCTGAAAAACTGTATGAACATCCAGTGTCATCCCCTACAGGTTTAAAAAAAATGTATTTGAACTCGAGAGGATGAATAAGAAGTGTTTTATGAACGATTGAAAGTTTGAACAAGATATATATAGGCAGAGTGTGAGCTAATAGAAGGAATTGAAATAAAACAACAAAAAACAGATTTTTCAGCATGAAGCGTTCTGCTTCTAAAAATCTATGAAGATGGCGCCGAAGAAAAGAATTTCTAAGCGAAATAAATATATGACATATATATATATTTAATTTACCTTTCATTCATGCACGTGCGCTGCTACTCAAGACAGATTAAAAACAAAAACTAAATGATGTTCGCAGCTCATCAAGAAATAAGAACAGTCAATTTAAATAAATTAATTTTAATAATAATGTGCGTGGTATTGTATGCAGTAATATTTTACTTATCTAGACAAATGAAAAACTCTGCATTCACTTTGAAATACATAAATTACATTATTAGACAACAATACAATAGGCCACTACAGATTAATTTCGATTAATAGATATAGGTTATGGATAGCGAACTCCGACTTGAAAAACTGTCACCAATAAAGCAGTCATGTAGACCACAAGATAAACTACGTTCCAGTAAGAGAAACCCTTGAAGTAATTTAATATACTAATAATGAGAAATGGTATGAAATTGGGGAATAGTAAATTAAGCTTCCGAAGTAAGAACTCTCTCCCAAACCGAAAGCTTCCATGCATGTGTCGGGGATAAACAAGATAAATACTGGTTTTGGAAAGATCTTCCACTAGGCTCAAGGAGAAGAAAAATGTGAAAACTCTCAATCGACACATTTTTTGGAAGTTGAAGAAAGTTCGCATTTCAACTGTGGTGACAAAGTCTGTATGTAATGGTCACCTACGTAACGCTGAATCCGCCCTGTTGTTAGTAGTGTAATGTTAGTAGTGTTTGTAGTGTAGTGTTGTTAGTAGTGTTAGTAGTGTTGTTTTGTAGTGTGTAGTAGTGTTAGTAGTGTTAGTGTGTTAGTAGTGTCCACCGCCAGAATACGAACCTGATGCGCATGGTACCAACGACCATAGCACTAGCCCCTTGGTCACCAGAAAAAGTAATAATTAAACCTTAAAAGTGTGGACGAATTTAGTGGGGCGAAAAAAATTGTTAAAATAGAAGCAATTTTGATTTTATTATTTTTTTAACTTTTGCTTTATTAGGTAAAACAAAATAATTAAAATGATAAAAAACTATTTTCGGGAAACAAAATTATTTATATTAAAAAAAAAAAGACATACAAAATAATCTTAAAGTTGTTGTTGTTCTAATGCAGCTGGCAATACAGAGACAGTTCATCTTTATGCCATCAGCAAGGGCTGCATCAGTGTCACTCATTTTAACACTACCCAGGGGGTTCGTGCAGCTCGAAGATAGGCTACGGACGCGAGTCACACTACCCCACAACGTTCTACGATCCCATTAGACGGAATTCGAACACGAAACCTGCGGTACCGACTGTCAGAGCGCTAGCCACTCGGCCATCTGGCCACCCAAATAGTATTTAAATATTACAAACAATTTTTTGATGCGATTTATTAGGAGAAACTGTTCTTCAACTGTTGGCTGTATATAACTAAATATCTTTTTAATAAACTAAATATTAAATAAGATATTATTTGGTGTAGATAAAAATTCTTTTACAGGAAATGTTAATCGAAAAGAGTTCGTTGATTCAATAGGATAAATAAAACAATCATGCATTCATTGACGTATAGAAATGTATGAAAAGGTTGATAATATTTTATATAATATACAAGTATGATGCAAGTTTGCGAATACAACAATGACGATAGTGCACATAATTTACTCTATCTTTTGAATTATATCGCTGTGGCTGAAAAGAATACGATCGTAAATATCACAAATAAAAGAATAAACAGCCAGATAAATCAAATTGTTCTATAGATGATATTTTCCAGAAAAAAAGTGTGGATGTGGTATTTTTTTTGTGGTCGGAAATATTAAACAAAAATATATTTAACATATTATGATGTCATGAATTTCGGAAATATTTTTGCTAAATTTTCTTATGAGGTCATGAGGTAAATTGTAAAATAAATAAATATTCTTCAAAATTTATTTGCTGAAAATTTGTATGCATAAATATTTTTTTTCACGATGAATAATCTTGAACTTTTCATGTTCGTTATACTGCCTTGTTCTAAACAGGTAATAGTTCTTGCGAAGTTAATTCCACTTTTGAAACCATCCAACAATTTCATTTAAAAAACTATTCTTTAAAATAAATAGGAAATTTACTTCTATCATTGGTATTTTTCCATTTGCATTTCGATCAGCATTTAAGTCGGAAAAAAAGAATTTTAATTAAAAATGCAGGTTACCATTTAAATTATTGATTTTTTATCTGAAAAGTATTTTTTGAAAATCTTTTATTATTTTTGTAGTATTCAGAGATTT